GTTATTATTATTAACGTCATCATTATGATCGATTATAATTATCATTATTTTTACTATTACTATTATTATTATTATTATTATCATTATTATAATTATCATCGATGTAAAATATTATTATCAGTTACTATTATTCAAATTCTTGTTGTTACTGTTGTTGTTATTATCATGTTCATAATGGTAAACGTTATCATTATTATTATCATGTTCATCCTCATCATCATGAACATATTGTTATTCTCTCCTTCCTCCCCCTCCTCCTCCTCCTCTTCCTCCTCCTCCTCCTCCTCCTCCTCATGATGATCATGAATTAATCTATCCTAAGCGGGTTACAGCATGATGTGTGAACGAAGCTCTCCCGTACAACCTTACAACAGCTGATATAAATGACCTACTTCCATGGTCTCAAACCTCATTATTTCTATATCAATTATGTCATGTGTGAGGGTCGGTGATAAAAATATCTTTTGACGGTCTTTGGCTATCTTCAGTTTCAAAGCATTAAAAGAGGAAGAGAAATGCATTGAAACCTTAATATACTACATGTACATGCTTAGATGCTCTTAAATATCTTCAATAGATTTTACAGTCACATACAAGTACACTTGATTAATATAACACTGAACGCTTAAACAGCATTGGTGACTTCATTTGTTTAATTCCTGTTTCCAAAAATCATTAAAATGAAAGAGCGTCAGCTATTTTTAAAGTGAGCCCATCGCGAACATAGGTGCGCACACACACACTCTCCCTATCTCCCTTTCTCTTTTTCGCTCACACACATACACACACACACACACACACTCACGAACACACACACGCACACGCACACGCACAGTACACGCAGACATAGTGTTTTTATTTGACGTAAAACTACACGCTTTTTCTTTTTTAAAACTTTTAATGTTTTTTGAGTGAATAACATTATAGCTAATGAATTTGATATTTCGAAATTGTTCGCAAAAACAAACATGAAAATAAATGGAAATGTATACTTGATAGGAAAGCCAAACATAGCTGTTTATTAACAAAGCTACGCATGTTTCCTTTTGCATTGGCCGATATAAATTGAAATCCGTTGTACGGCTCAATATAGCATTTACAAAAAAACAGAAATCTGTAGCAATGCTATTTTCATGATTGTGGAAAACTTCAAAACATTCTTCTGATGGTTTGAAGGAAAGACGTGAGAAACACACTTATTGTTACAAGAATACTCAGATTCCAACAGCAACATTTTTTCAGTCAAGATTTTAACAGCCAAAGCAAACCGCAACAAGAATATGGTAATCAGTACACGATACATGCTCACATTATTTGTCTGCATTTCTATTTTCATACATCTGACGTTTTGCCACTTTTTTTGTTATGCTCTTCACATTTTACATAACATGTTGAGATATCTATCATATATATTGAATTGTCAGGAACGTCATCGTCATCGTCAAGGCGACTATCTAAGATGCTTGAAATAGGCAAGGAAGGGCGTTAATGAGTCACATCAATTCGAATGTTGTGGTCTCTGATGTTACAGAACAAGACACTAGCGATTCTAGTCCTTTCAAGACCAGGTTTAAGATATTATCCGGAGAGAAGCTTCTGCAAACCATACGTATTTTTCTTTTTTTATAATTATCTTTGAAATTCTCAAAAATGTTGACAAATTAGCCCCATCGCCCCCACCTCCCCCCCCCCCCGCCCAAAAAAAAAAAGAAGAGAGCAACAAATGGAATTGAATAATAATAAGGTACCGTAGCTTAATTCAAACTTCCATCATTTTAAAACGTTTCCAAAGACAGAGCGTATCAAGCAATGCCAAAAGCAAGTTTTAAAGACAACTCATAATGGAAGAACAAATGAAGTAGAATCTGCACTTTCGGAGGATGTATAAAATCAAATCAGTGATTAACACGCTTCCATTCGCTATCTTTTAGAGTAATGATCTACAGAACAGGAATGAACGCCAATTTGCGAGCACGGAGGCGTCGCTTGCATGACCATCAGCAAGTTGATCGAGAAAGAAAATCGACCAAGTAAGGAAACAAGCCGGCAAAACCTAATAAACCGAGGCGGCACGTGAACATTTGATATCTACCCATAAAGACACCCAATCCTCAGGCTAAACGCATTTGCATCCATGCTTCCACCCCCAACGACAATTGTTGACAAAACTACACTTCTCTTTGTGGGAAGAGTTACAAGTATTTGACCTTTACAGTTAGTTTTTTCTTCTGTTTGTATCCTCTTTGTCTTCTTTTCTGCTTCTTTGATCTTGACCTCTTATAAAACCTCTCTAAAGCCGTCCAGCATAACTACTGGATTTGTGTTTGTTTGGGGGAGGGCTGTAACACTTGGATTTTGTTCTAATTGTTTTTTTTTAAATATTATTTTGTGATTTATTCTTGTTATCATTTATGAAGAAACAGATCCCAATCACCCTCCCAACATGACAACCTACCGATGGAACAATAACCCCAACACAATCACCCCATACCAAATTTACCATTTGATAAACATCTCTTAAAGAAAAAATAACCAAAAATTACATTCAGATCTCTAATTAAAATACGTTGTAATGACATTTTATTGGTCAATTGTCAGGGCAGTAATTCATCAGGGAATAGTTACTGAGAGTATTTCTCTTGGAATGATTATCAATGGTGTTTCAGATCCAAATGAAAATTAAAGTTTAGTCATGAAGCTGGATAAAAAATACATGGATATGTTTTCACAAATAGTATTTAAAAAACACTGGCTTTAAAGGATATACACTTAAAAACCAACCCTATCTAAGAATAGTAATCATATGAGATGATTTAAAGCGGACGTACCTCGGTCCATTTCCTTACTTGTTTTCAACACTTTCACATAAATTCCACCCGATTCGACAATTGAACACGGTAGCATACTGTACCATATTATGATAGTCACATTTTTAACTGTACCTAGATTATAGTCGCTCAGCCATGAGCCAGCTTATGGATACTTCACAGTAGTGAACCCTGTACTCTTATAACCTCACATGTATGATAACAATGATGATAATACTAATGTTACCAATACTAATAATAATAATTATGATAATTACAGTAACAATGACAATACTACACAAAACACCTCTAGTAGGATTGGTTTTGAATTGAAATATTCAACCAATAAAAAGCCTGATGTGGAATGAAATGGATGGCAAAGTGCGAAAGACACATGCAAAAAAAAACCTAATGCCTTTTTTAACTGATTGAAATATCTTCATATACTGTCAGCCGCATCATCGCATCGCATCATCGATTTGAATAAAAATGCCATAAACATTTACATCCTATCAGTTTCCATAAAACTGTCTGAATGATTCATCTCATATAAGAAAGGCACACAGGGACAACGATATCATATTCATAAGCTGGCCGAGAGCCTATAATCTTGGTTCAGTTAACACCGTGACCTTTTTTTTTACAATACGGTACAGTATACTACAGTGTGAAATTGATGAATATGTTGTGACGTGTTATCCGACATGTTATATGATTAATGCGACCATTTTCAATGATATGGCTTATATACATATTTATGGAGTAGTATTTCTTTATTTCTTTACACAGGAGATTTCTGATGTTGCCATGACGGTGAATAGGTTTTTCAAAAGAATAATTATGAAGGAGCTATCTATCTATTTGGAATTTCCTCCATATTTTACCAAAACTACACACATTTAAAACTCAAATATTACCCACCGTAATTTACTGGGTTTCATAAAATATACATTTTTTTATATCGGGATGATAAATACAACAAAAATAACTACAACAATTAATAATACTTCTAAAAAAATGAATTAAAAAAAATAATAATCGCATATGGGCAGGTCAACGGAATTTGACCAGTTTGTTTTTCATACGTATACCAACGATTAAAGCTAAAGATCAGTTATGGTCATGCAATTGCATAGTGAAAGAAACGTTGTGAAATCGATCAGAAAAGGTTGATCATCTAGCATGATGTACTGCAAGGTTCTGGAATCATCAAAATTATAAGAAATTTGGCCAAGTCTTCATGAAGTTAGAAGCACTGTACACATAAAGATGTATATGGGACTACACACACGTGTGCGACACGTGCATTTGTATCTCTCAACAGTATATAGATATACTAATTTACCAAATATATCAATTAGTAGGCGGTTTCCCGTCAAAATTTTTATCGTCATGTAATATTCAAAACATATTCTTTCACATGATTGGTAATAAGAGCTTCCATTTCATTTTTTGAAATTGGGGCGCTTCCAATACAGGTCTTTACCTTTAACATGGTATTATATAACATGATGCATGTAATTCTTGTCTAAATAGTCGGTCTTATCAATGCTGAAGTGAGGCTGCCAATCAAATCGTCCATGGCATCGGTATCTTGTGGGGACATTGACTTGCCCATACATCGTCAGATGATCAAATGCGCTTGCTATTTTGCAAAATGCAAAATTTTATATTTTGAAGTTATATATAAGATATATTTGCATGCTACTAAAATAGTATCAGTCTATATTCAATTTATCCACAGCTGACATTTACAATCTCAAAATAGATTTATAACATAACAAATATAAGAACAATTAGATGAAATAGAATTGCTTGAAAGGAGGCATATTTATATATTAATTGAGGCTCTGAGAATAACAAAACCCTATGTAATACGCTCAGAGTCTGCCTCGGTAAATGACGTCATATTTTGTACACCACACTCTCTCCCTCCATCGCTCTGATCCTCCCCCCCCCCCCCCCCCCCCCCCTTGTGCGGAAGAATTAAAAAAGGGAAAGGCATATACTTTCCCGCTATTTGCTTGGCTATCATTGCCCTGACGTCACAAGCTACGCGTCTGCGCACAAACACTTTGATTCACAGGTGTGTAAGAAGTTTTCTTCCGCCACGGAAACCGAAGTGTGTGTGGGTGTGTTTGTGTGCGCGTGTGAAGACAGCACGTGTGTGCCTGTTTGGTGGGTGGAGGAGAGGCGAGCGTGGCAGCTGAAAACAAGCAAGCGCTCCATTGTGACTGGGTTGCTTACGAAGGAGAGTCATTTATGTGGAGCCAAATGGAATGAAAGGAACACGTACGGACAATCACTCGATGTCAAATCACAAATAGCGAGAGAAAACGAACATTACACTTGGCAATGCACCTGTGAAGACGAACTCATCTCTCGGCTGGAATTGGGTTAGTGCGGAGGCAAGTATTTTAATATTTCTCTCCCTTTTCTTTCATTTCCATTCGACTGCGTATAGCATTTCCAAGATTTATTTCCTAAATTGCATGGAATTGGGTCAAAACGAATCAAATTCGGTCCGATCCTTCGCGTCTGTTCTTCATTAAAGTTTTACGCAAAACACGTGTTCAAGACATCAAATCTTCTTAATTTATCCATCGCTCCAGCAGGATTAGATTGCTTCAATTAAAGCGTCGTTAGAGAAGATGGAGCAATTGTCTGCAATAATCAAGATACTACTCGAGTGCGAAGTGTTTTAATCGGCTTCACATCGTCAATCTCAATAATAATCGGGGCATTCATATTAGCTAGTACTATTGTGACGGCTAGAACTGTTTAAAAGGAGGTGAAGAAAAGGGAGATTTATGTTAATATTTTAGTTTTTATATGAGGTAAAGGTCATGTAAAGCACTTTGTCACAATAATTGGGAATGGATCGTTGCGTAGAATCATGGTCATAAATTATAAAAGAAATTCAAAGTGGCAATGTGTTCTCACTATACATTACAAATATTTTTCTTTCCCACTTTCCTACATCTAACGTTACTGTTATGGAAAATTAGGGAATCTTTGATGGAAAGCCAACCTTGATGGGACTCCATTTAGAAATAGGTTTAATTAAGCCTTTTTTTTAAATAGAAATTAGTCATTACCATGAAATCCATATCAATTCCACCACTTAACACTGCTTTATGTCACTATTTGTTACGAAGATGAATTCAAACGACGAAAAAAAAAAGTTGTATTGTTATAATAGAAATACGGTAAATTTAGAGGCAAAAAAGTAGATTAAGGTCTAATCAAATTTTGATTAGTGTTTTCTATTTTGCTTATCACTGTCTGTTCTTCAAGTATACCTATGCAACAGTGAAGGAAAGGGTTAAGTATATGATGTCCCTATAATATGCCTAAACGTCTTAAAAATATTTTGGCTGTTTCATTGAAGATCTTACTTTCGACGTATCAATGTAATCGTCGTATTATGGATATGAAGCTCCTTGCTTTAAAAAAAGGCAACGTTTTCATTCATCGATACAATTAAATAAATACATGTGTGGAAATCTCTCTTCAAACTAAAAAGAGCACATTCACATTTTGTTGACAAGCAGACGAAAAGAAAACAAGTCGTAAGCGTTCTCGTGCAAGCTTTTCATTGACGACAAATAAAACACCCCATCCTCCTTCCCACCCTTCCCCACCCTTCCATTTCGGCGTTCTTGGCTTTGGCATATATTTGTCTTTTTGAAAAAATAAACGCGAAGTGTGCTTCTAACTTTACCTGATAAAACTCATGTCATTGAGAACCATATTTTGAGCTATTTCAATGTCCATGACATTTTGTCATCGCTTGGTTTTAAACGAGACTGCGATGTCATAGACACTATAAATAAACTGAAACGACATGTTATCTATTCCATCCAATCCAATCTTTATGCTTAACATGATTTACCAGATAGTACAGGTAGTACTAAATGTCATTCGACAAGAGAAAGCCGTTTTCTTATTAAAAACCGATGTCTTTAATCAGAAAGACAATGTAGCTTCCCTTTTACATATCTAATTCTCTGCGGTTTTTCGAATTATTAAATGATTTTTTTTTTCTTCTCGAAACAAGCCCTTGTCGGAAAGGTCAGCGCTTTTGGTTTGAGTGTAGCGCAAAGGTAATAGCGTGGCGTGCCCCGAGACTGTGTGTTTACTGATGCGTAACTTGTCTCGTTATCGGAGGACATTCATTGTATTCCGATAACGGCTGTCCCTCTGACCATCCATAGTTAGGGAAGATAAATACACCCACGCTTTACTTTCCTTTTAAAAGCAAAAGTGGAATAAACAGGGATAGAAAGACAACTTACTGAATCATTAGACTTTATTTAAAGAACTCTTTTCTATAACAAGGAGATCTAATTTTCCCTATATTTCTTTCCTCATAACTTTGATTTTGAATCAAGATCGCTGGCAGATATTACCTTATCATAATCTTAACGTACGTGCAGTTTACGTCTACCTTGTTAAAGAGACACTTTTCATTTTTGTCAATACTTGTATTAAAATATATGTGAATTTCAACTGTTTTATGAAACCACTGATAAAAACGATTATGCTCTGGAGAATTATATATTCATGAATGCAACTATTGAAGATTTACACTTTGATGGAAGATATCAATTCCAGAAATATGTTAGTTTAGTATATCTTAAATGTTGCGACCTTTCTAAACAATTTCGAACAAAGTCTGATTATTGACCATTTGATAGAGTTCATGTAATACGAAAAGAAATGTAATACATTTTAAAGGTGGCAATGCGACTAGCTACGACAAGTATGTACATTGTAGGTAGAGTATCATGATACTCATATTTGATTTACATTATACGAAGATGACCAAAGCTACGCGATTCTATCACTGTGTAATCACATGCATTATCGTCCCTTTAATGCATTATTGGTCAAGGACAGTTTGATAACTTGTTTAAAAATGGATTTTCCAAGGTTGACTTTTTCGTTCAGCTGCAGTTTGTTGCTATTTTCGTTGCAGATAAATTGACCTTCGATGACAAAGAAACCTGTTTTTATCATTGTTCACATGAACACTATGTACGCCATACTCTCTTGAGCATCCCTCTGATATGCCTCGGTTAAACAACACGCTTTTTTCCATTATGTGATACGCCTTAAACCCTACGCGTACTTTACGATTTGAATTTGATCCGATTTTGGAAGAATGTGCGATAACATTTGATTTACAAGTTTTTTAAAAGTAAGGTCTAAAACAAAGTGATCCATTTCAAACCCTACACCGGGTGTAAACTTTTGTCCATAATTGGTTTTAACATACTTAGCTGGTCTGACATATCAGTTTTCATTCTGTTAAAGGTGATATTAGGACCCGGGGTTAGGTTTTAGTGAACATTCAAATTTCTAAAATCTCAATGATCGATTATCTAATTAGTTCAACCGATACAGTCCTTTGAAATGGATTGAACTCCAAAAGTAGCGATTCGTGAAATAGCAACTACGAAGTGAACCTTCATTCCTCTGCTTGAAGAGAGGAACATCTTGAAGCTAAGCATCTGTGTTAGATATGAACCTATTAACTACACAGCCGTAATAACTCTATACTGGGCACCGACTAGGCAACAGTGGCTAGTGAGGATCTGAAACGGCTCAACTAATGAACACTGATGAAGTGCATTCTTTCTATTAATATACGATAACTACTGAGTGTAATAACACGTCAATAGACTTTAGATTTATCGATTCGGATTCTTGAGGAAATGGACAATCAGACCAAATTATTATTTCTTGTTGCTTAACATAAAATTAAAAAAGGTCAACATTCGGTATTCATTATGTGTGTACTAAGGCGGAAAAATTATGAACGGCGCATGTAACCAATGATGCATAAAAAGTGATCTTCTACAAATATCCATTCAGATGGCTCTCAAGATAAGCCAAGCACCAAACATGATGTTATCTATGATTTCAAGCGATGCTACTCAGTCTTGTTTCAAGTATCGCCGCTAGATTATGATCGCCCAGACAATCCAGCCACCTTTATCCACAAGGACGTGGGTAGGGTTTACACCGTGCACTTGAGGGGAAATGCTAACCACTGAGAAAATAATCTTGACAAGTTTCATAATGATGTGATGAGCCCAGAGGCGCCGGGATTAAATATAATGAAGTGACGCGAAGTGCTTATTATGAGTTTCAGAATCTAACGCAGGCATGCTCCAACGAATAGGTATTGCAAAATTATGGCGACGAAAATCTTTGACGAAAGATGATTAGCTTTTCGGTAGTACAGTGGTAGTTATCTTTTATATAAAACATACGAAGCCGCCTAGCCCCTACACCCTAAATTAGAAGAACCATAGTTTTAAGATAAAGAAAAAGTCGAAGACAAACAAAGAAGAAGATAAATAAGAAAAAGCAGAGTATAGAGAAGAAAAAAAGATAAAGAAAAAGAAGAAGATAACGAAGAAGAAGAAGATAACGAAGAAGAAAAACAAAGAAGAGGATGATAAAGAAGAAAAAGAAGAAGATAAAGAAGAAGATAAAGAAGAAGAAGATAAACAAGAAGAGTAAGAAGAAGGGAACATTTATCTTTCGACTAGATGTCTTTTTTGCGCAGTCCTTTTTTCAATGAATAATAATGATAAGACAAAATCGTTACATATCGATTATATGCAATATTGCCGTCGAATCAGTCCGACGTATTTCGGTTACACTTAATTGTGCCTGGTTGCATGCACATCAATACTAGAAAGATCTGACTTTTGAAATGATTTAAAATATGCTCGAATTATAATACACATCTTAATCAAGTTTTTAACTATATAATTTGTTAGTTTGAAAAGTATAATCCATATAGTTGTATTGTTTTGTCTTAATTGTGGACTACTGAAATATGCGGCTCCCATCAGTTTGAATACAGAAACAAAGCGAGTTAAGTTGGGAATGGGACGAATGAGATATATTTCGGAATGTAGTTGTCTTTCATTTTTAAGGGTGCAGAGTGTTAAAATTGTCTAAATCCTTAAATATGACGCAATACGTGAACACAAGGAATCATAAATTGACTGGGATTCTTCTTAAAACACATCTTTATTACGTGCAAACAATAAAGAAATGTCTGAATTGTGAAAAAGTTGTAATTCATTCATGAACGTCCGAGATAAATTTACCTTATTACCCCCCCCCCCTCCCCTTGGAAAAAATCTAGAAAATCTATATAGCGTGAGACTTTCGTATACTTTTATGTATAGTACAAAAGCTCTCTTTGACAATGTGTTATACAGTAAACAGACTCATGCGCAAACCTTGCTTATCTAACATGTCACGCTCTCCTTAATGTCTAGAGAGTGACAAGTTCTTCTGAAGAAAAATCAATTTTCTATTGACTTAGTGATTGGAGAGTATTCCTTTCGAGTGACAATGCAATTTAGCATGAATCTCCTTCAAGACAGTGTCTCGGGTACCCTAGAATATCTCGTAGGTTCAGAGACAATACTATTGAACCTAACACCAAACGTGGGACAACTCAGGGTCATTCCTTCCAAATAAAATCGATTTAACGTACGAAAAACTGAAAGACGCAATAGTGCATTTTCAAATCACTTAAGTTAACGACGTATGTGTTGACCCTTGATAAGTAGCACATTTTACAAGGCGATAAACAAAAGTGTAAAATAAAAACAACAGGTTTTCGAAGCAATTAAACGTGTAAGATAATGTTTACGTGAGACCAGGGAACATGACCATGATATTAATTCGATGCATTTATATGTATTTTATTTATTTATTAATTTATAATCTTTTGTCAGGGTAGCCCATTCACCAATAAGTAGTGGTCCTCCATGGAGCCCTGAATAATTATGAACATATTTACATCAAAAAGTCTAAAGTTTATACAGTTTGAATATAATTACATAGTACATTTAAAAAGATATAACACAGCAATAATAGACGTGGCACAAATGAATACTCATTTGCAAAATAATAAACCTAGTTCAACTGTAATGCCAATAGTAAAATATTGATTAAGACGCAATTATGGGAATAATTCATGTTCATATCACAAAATATGCATCTTTGTTTAAACATATTAATACCTTTCATATGGTCTAATGTAGCTATATACCTGTGTCTCACAGCCTTATTACCTAAAGCTGTTGTCTTCGCATATTCCCAGACAAAAAAGGAATTATCTTAATCCCATTATGATGAGAAAGTAATCTTACATTGATTGCATTGTTTCATTATCAGTAGAAAATGCAATTCCATTTGAAATGTCATGCTTAACATTTCGTTATTTCAAATATGATTATTTCTGACCCAGAGATATACAAATGAAAAATACATGTTGTTAGTTTGGTATCACGTTTTTATCGTAAAACAGACAGAGATTGAATTATGTATAACGGCAGGTCCCAAAGATTCGGGATAGAGTTTAACTGTTTGGTTTGTCTTCGAATTCACTAAAACCTAACCAGGGGTCCTAATACCACCTTTAACAAAATGAAAACTGATACGTCAGACCAACTAAAGCTTACACCCGCCAGTGTAGGGTTTGAAATGGGTCATTTTGTTTTAGACCTAACTTTTGAAAAACTCGTCAATCCAGAGGAAACGTTAAGCAATTCATGAAAGGCGTATGCTCTCTTCGAGTCTTAAGATATATATATATATATATATATATATATATATATATATATATATAGTTTTATATTATAACGTTATTATTAAGATTTGATGCGAGTGACATTCGAGTTATCTGGCTAAAGACCACTGTTAAGTGTTTGCAATCACTTTATGTCAAGAACGAACGCACGATTCATTGACCCAATATCTTTCTTTTTCTTATCTCATACTAAGCCCCTTTTTATTGTTATTTGGGGAACATATTACGGTGTTTGGAGATCAATTTAAAAAGAACAAATATATAAAAACGAGCAGCGGACATATTCAAAAGAAAGACAGTCATATTTCAGCAGCATTTTATTTAGGAATCTAGTTTTGGATATCAATATGCGACAGCTAAGAATTGAAAGTGCATGGCTTGTGTTTGCATTATTATTCCATTCACGCAGTGCCAAGGCGCAGTTGATATGATTATGATCATGAAACAAATGTATGACATCATATTTTACGCAAACCTTCCTGTGAATATGTATCTGACTGAAGTCGGTGCTACTTTGTGCCAATACATCACTCCATTTACGATTGTGATGGACAGCACTATGAACATAATCTGACTAATTAGTCTACTCTAAAATGATGGATGCTGTAATTGATGAATTAATTGGTTTTAATTAAACTACTATAAGCTTTTGAAAACTAGGTTTAATCCAATATCTCGGCAACAAGGTACGATCACCCTTGGGAATGGACTTAATCTACCAATTAATGGGATACATGTTAGTCAAACAGCGTGAATGGAATATTTTGGGAATATGGAGCTTATAGGAGTTTAATGTTTGTTTTCCAGAGCGGAGATATGGAAATATAATCCGCAATCTTACAAGGTTATATTGAAAGTGTAAATGCCAGGATCATGCGTTTTATGACATAACACCAATAAAACTTCTCAAGGCGATATTACGCCATCCGCCCACCTATAAACCTGCATCTACATGGGAAAGGAACTTATAATGGTATACCGGTGAAGTTCGACATGTAGTGAAGCTGCTCAATTGTGTTTTTCTTTGTTTGGATTTATATTAATTATGATAATATTTAGTAATAATAATAATAATAGTAGTGATACTAATAACAATGTTAATGATGATGATAATAATAAGAAGTACAATAAAAGTAATAATAATGATAACAATGTAGACATTTATAAAGTGCTTGAAATCATTTTTCTGAACAAATTTTCATCGTTTAGATATATATATATATATATATATATATACTCATATCTTAACAATACCGTACTTTAAGCAACTTATTGATAACAATGTAGACATTTATAAAGTGCTTGAAATCATTTTTCTGAACAAATTTTCATCGTTTAGATATATATATATATATATATATATATATACTCATATCTTAACAATACCGTACTTTAAGCAACTTATTTAAATTCATAACAGAAACAAGTAAGTAGTACAATAAATGGACATTCTCAATTGATTATGGTAAATGTCTGGTAATGTATGATTTCTTTGATAATTTGATGTGTAAGATGTATATATAATGAATAAGATAAAGCACTAAGAAAAAAGATGTTTATTCAGCGCTGATAATTCGCTTCATCATATACGTTTTGTTTTGGGGGTAAAATTATTATTATAATTGCTAGTATCTGTATCGTTATTGTTATTTGCATTACTCTTGATATTATTTTAAATAGCATTAATACCATTAGTCTATCATTTTGAAAAATAAATGTGTCCCTTGTCAGTTGTTGGATATTGCGTTATGGTTACGGTATTACACTTTGCTCATATTAATTAAGAAATACGGGAGCAATATAATGAATACAGTTTATCTAATTCTTGGTTTATCAAACTTGCCACCATTTCAACCCTACTTTTAATGCCAATTCTGCCAAATCTGGTAAGTTTCCGGGATGAGAGTTGTTAAGTAGGTAATGTTCTAAACAGAATGGTAAGCTAAAACAGTAGTTTTCAAATGTGCATGCTTCAATTGTAATTGATTTACCAAGTCATGCTTTCGGCAGTTAAATAACAAAAGCCAAATTGGAATAAACATTTATACTTTTTCAAACTTGGATACCCACCAGCTGCAAAGAAGTTGTTAAAAACAGAATTCTAGGCTGACGATCCGTAAATTGAAAGAGGGGGCGTATAAGTGGGTAACGATGAAGCATACATTCGCTTGGGTTTTTCTCGTAAACGTTTCTGCCGAAATCGATCGACTAGCGTATGTGGCTGGTTCACGTGTCGTGGCTTTAGACTGGAATCGATACTCATTTTGTCTTCTGTTTCATTGCAGAGCCCCATTGGGTTTCAACGGCAGAGTGCACGCGACACTTGAAAAGAAAAATCGAAAAGGATATCGACGATTAACTCAAGATCAGAGTTGGCCAAAGTGGCTGGCTGAAGATTGCGGCCACACGCAACGCCGTGCCATCGGTTCTACCCCACCGTATCTAATTGTTCTTATTCAGCAATCTGGAGAAAGACAAAACCGTGGACATCTGGACGACCAAAAGGCCAAGGACAAACGCTAGTACCTACCCCAGACCGCGTAAACAGGGTTTATTTCTTACTGACATCACAGAGGACACCAACTCCAACCATATCGACGTCACCGGTGCAACACAAAATGCCACTGGCTGATTTCCTGTTTTACATGGCCGTACTACTGGGGTTATCCACAGTAGTCACAAGCTCACCGGTACAGACTCCTCTCGAAAAAGCTGCCGCTGCGGCGGCGGCCAGCGTAACGGGAAGCGATGTTCCCTTCGACACACCTGCGAATCAACTCTTTCGCGATGCGGTTAGGGTGGTGGACACGATGAAAGACTTCTTGGCAGCGCTGAGTGACTTCGAGCAAATCCAGGTGGGTGAGGCGGCAAGGGAGGATGAAATCAGGCTGAACAGTGTCAAGAGAGGTAATAACGGATTCCGAGTCAATGGATGGAAAAGAAAGAGACGGAGCACGAGGGAACGAGATATTCTAGCTGTGGCCTTCACGAATAAACTAGATCACAAGGCTGCTGACATGGTTCACAAGATATACACATTCCTCGGAGATCTACAAACGGTAAGCCAAAAAGAAAATATTATGTCACTCATATAGTCCTACTGTAATCACGACTATATCCGTTTTGTATTTTACAATTATTGTGCACACAGGAAAACGCAACGTCTATTCATTTCATTTTCCAACGTCAATTAACTAATGAGTCTTCTGTTGAACATCTTTTTTAATTACTACTCCTTATGATAAAAATACGTTGGGTTGAAAGAGTTGTATGATAACCAAATAACAAGAATGGAAAAAAAATATATACCTTAAATTTAAGCTAAATGGAGTCATGATTCAAATGAAATAGTGAAAGGCATTAACACAATAATCATAAACCCATGGTCGTCAATCACTTCATAATTATACCAGGCAGTGATCACAGCAAAGCAACACGTATCAACATGAAAGTGAAAATGACCTCATTTATTCCTATCAATGTTATTCTTGGGATAGAGTATTGGTATTCTTAAGGTCTATATACATATCATTGTTTAGTAATATTCTCTTTAACTCATAGTCTGCCATAAGGCTGCATGCACGCTATCGTTATAGTGCTTTGTAGATGCGAGAGAGCCATCGCTTGAGTGTCATGTGCGTGCAAGGGCGCATTCGTAATAGCAGTTATTGTTCATGCTCATTGGACTGTGCTGTGTGTTTTGCACTCGCTATTCATGGCACAATGGGGATTAGCCCTGTGGCATGATATAGCAAACCGAATCGGTATCGAATTGGTTGGAAAATAAAATCACAAATATAACGACTTTATTATCTAACTTTTATTGTGAGTCATTGTCGCTGAATGCCTAAAGGCGACATTCCGCGGTACATAAATGAATGTTTATTTCAATTAAACAAACAATGCTATAACTGCTCGAAAATGACAGCCCTTAAAAAAAAACAATTGTGTGCAGACTATTGTTATCCAAATTGAAATGAAACTTTTTATTCATTCTATTTTTGAATAATTGTGAAATACCTTTTCACTCCATAGACCTAATTTGGTATGACTTGTTCAAACGGCGGGAAATCGATATTGTTAAACTAAAATGTATTCCTTTCCTGAACTTGGCCTTGGTATGACGTCAGAAGTACGTCACGTAACCTAATAACCCTGGTGAAGTTGTTGATAGTTTTTGTTCTTAGCATTTCTTGATTAATTTAGACAACGAACCGTGCTTTTACACAGTTAAACAGAAATATAAATTGTCTATAGAAATCACAAAGTGCATCTTTACTTATGCACTAAGTGCATAATATACACATGATACAAGTAGCCATCACGGCTCTATTTTGATCAGAAATGCCTGCGAATGCAATTCCCCTCTTTTCCAGAAGATATTCCAGAAAATTACAATTTGATCATTTTCCTGGCGCCATTTTGTATATTGCTTTCGGGGGGGGGGGGGGGTGGGGACTGATGGATAACATAAATATGATCGCTAAATTTCTGAACTGGAGGACGCCTATCGATTGTATTATCTTGCTCAACACAGTAGTCGGGTTTTTATTATGTCAGGATAGATTGAACATTTTTCTTTTCATTTTGGATAATTGAAAGAGGGAAACAAAATCGCTAAGCTTAAAGAGACAGTTGAGTTCTGGGGAGAGGTGACAAATAAGTTGTGAGCGTTATCATTCTTATTATGCAAGTGTGGAATAACATCAGAGAAGAAATGTTCCATGTAAAGCATGGATCTTCAAATGCCTTCATATTCTAAATATGACAAGTGACAGCTTAAAGGTAATACAAAGTTTTGGGAAAATTTGAAAATGGGTGTATAGTGATTCTTTACAATTTTGATGTATTTGGATACCCCTGTGGATGTAATATAAGCAGTAGAAAATTTAGCCCCTAAAACACTTCTGCTTTCGAGAAAAATTGAATAAAAAACATTGACCGGTGCTCCCGTTAAATGTTGATATACATTTCAATTAGCGTCTACGGCCCTACGATGGTAGCTGCGACCATGAAAATCTCAAAATATGTAGTTGTGATATATAATTTCCAAACGGGAATAGCTAATCGGTCGATTTTAGTCAAGAAACATTGTTTTAAAAACTAATTTAATGTCTTGAGAGGGAGCTATACAACATAAAGAGTTTATTATTTACAATTTCATAACTTTAGACTCGATTTCAACCGCGACGATGATCACTGAATATTGTAGGGTCGCATATGCTTCCAATTTGTTCATTTGAACCAAATTCACGACCCAATACCAAAACTTTGTATTACCTTCAAAAAATGAGGCTCGATTTGTATGCCACATGTTTGTGTAGACCCATATAGATCTTTCTGTGTACCGTGGTTATTACTTTACCAAGACTGGGCCAATTTTGTTATCATTTTGATGACTCCAGAACCTTTCAATACACACCAATTCTTACATGCTACACTATCAACTTTTTCTGATCGATTCCACACCGTGTCTGTCACAATTCAATCAAATGACCAGAACTCAACCTTATCTGTAACGATAAACAACGAATTGTCTAATTGTGATCAAGGATGGCTGTTACATAATGATTGATATCCTAATTTTTAAAACTATTTCCCGAAAAAAACTGTATTCTTTGATTTGTCCTTATTTTAGTGAAAGTATCTCACAGAGTTGAATTGCTCCTACAGTTTATCACATGTTGTCCAATCATGATAAAGTAGTATCATATACGACTAGTACTCGAAATTGGCTTTACAATAGAAAGAAAGATTTGTGAAATGTCCTCAGATGTTTACCCCTTACGAATGTTACTGCCAATATAACACAAATTCCATGCTTTATGCCCGTAAAAGACACCGCACTTTATCCTTTTAAACCAATCGGGAAAGTTGAATGTACGAATAATCGGAAATAAAAACACTTTGAGTTTAAACTGTCTGCATTTGGAAGAAAGAAAGAAAGGAAGAAAGAGACCTAGGCAATAAGTTATTCAATAAAACCGTTACAGAACTAAATTGACATCGTCAACGAATCGGAAACAATTGACATAGAATTGTCTTCCTTTCGTTTCCTAGGTTACGATTTTTTCTAATGTAACGTAATATCGATAATTTTGCCCAGTTCAGGAGGATGATAGTTGGTTTTTAATCAAATCAATTATTGGTGACCTCGAGATAGGAACGCCTTGCCCTATGTAACCCGAACACTAGCAAATTGAATTCCGTTTCCACATCCGCGAGAGATGGATGAAAGATAGAAGACTAAGGGAGATACAACTTGATGCAGATCGAGAGAACGAGAAATGGCAAAGAAGAAGAACAAGACGAAAGAGAGAGATAAGAGGGGGAGATGAATAAAAGAGACTTGCTGATGGAGTGATAGCGAGCGAGAGAGAGAAATAGACAGATGTATAGATAAAGAGACAGATGGAGATAAAGGGGAGTGACAGAGAGAAAGGGGTGGATAACAAAGAGGGGAGTGATCTACAGCCACTCTTTCAATTATATCCAGAGACAAATCATAAATCTCGAAGAATTTTACAGCTTTCCATTTTTGATCAATGGCGGCAGTTTGTGTAATAATCGACAATCAATTCAAACCATCTACGAAGTGTGTTTTTGCTAATACATTATATTCAATTCGAGTTGGCTTTCATTTTTATTTTTGCTCTTTTGTGTTTGCTAAAAATGAAAATATTTTGGAAAGTCACCTTTTTGACATTTTGTTTCTTAAAAATTACATAAACCGACGTCATGATAATCTACCTTTATAAGATTTACGATGCCTTAAAATTTTTAGGTATCTTATAGACTTAAGGACTAGAAAAGCCGTCTTTAGCTCTTGTCTGATTATTTTCTACACATATATGTAGTTTACAAATGCAATATTCTACCTCTTACGAGAGAATGGCATGGCACTTTTAACTCTCGCTCTCTCTTTCATTCGACCTTTCTACTTAATTGGCCTTTCAATGTGAAAATGCATACATTTACATGTGGCAGTCCTATGATATGATTAACATATTCAAAAGTCGTTCATTGATACGTCTATTTGATAGATTGATAACTAATTATACCCTTGCATTAGATTTTTTTAACCAGATCTGTTGGGCCTTAAATAAATTATATTTTCACCACACAACTTTGTTATAATAGACAATCATACATGTTTTTGTTATTCATTAGTCCATTAGAGCAAAAAGGGTTACTCGGTCTAATGCAAATAATTCGTTTGCATCGGAAACCTATTACGCCTTTTTTTTATTCCGTGCCTTTTTACATGGCCTACTGAAAGAGTTGATGATTTTGAAAAAGACACGATTACCCCCTTTTATCGGATTAGTCTTTAACGAAATTTGGGAGATATGTAAGCTTCCTAATGACATCAAAGTAGAATTCAAGCGATCATGGGTAGTCTTCGTGATCTTTATTTCTTAATACAGCTGTCGGGTATTTTTACATGCAAAGTATTTCGACTATTTTTCTTGGTCATATGCTATTCATGTGCATTGTAATTTGATTTCGAAAAACCTGAATGGAATGAATAGTCTAGGTGAAAGTTAGAAATGTTACCTTTCTAGAAAATGCACACGGTTTGCGATTAAGGCGATTTACCACAGTGAATGGAAGTTAAAGAATCTTAGGAATGATTCATAACACAGATACCGGTATATCGGAAATAATACATGAGGCAGCCGTATCATATGCGGATAGCTAGCAGCTTACTGAGATAACCTTTCCCGCTACTGCGGTGGAAATCTTACCCACATTTTGTCAAAGATTTAAACCTTCAGGTCTCAAGCTGTTGAATTCAAATACACATTAAAGTCAATGTTTCATCTATGAGTCGACATACCATTGACTTCAGGTATTCAGAGTGAGGTGGCATTATGTACATGTCGTCCTTGGGGGGAATCGACTCATTTAATTCATCAAAGCTGAAATTGAAGATGATTTCACACGTGTGATAATATAAGTATCTCTACCTTTCATACAAATTGTAGGGCATATCACTCATTACGAGGATACATGTAATCAACACATGTAACTCAAAAGTTTCCCTGTCTTGTATCTTCAAATACATTTTCTCGAATAGTCTCGGTTGACCAGTAAATATACTCCCAAATGAATTAAAACAAAGCAAAACAAAACAAAAACAGGAGCAAAACCAAAAGGGAATACAAAAACACAAGTTGTTTTGAAATCAGATACGGGTTTCTTGACCCAAACTGTAAGCGGATAGTCCATCATCTGTTTGTATCTGAATAACTAACATAATCGATCACTTCAGTTCCCCCACAGCGAGAATAGGCTAGTATGTGTTTCGACTTTTCTTTTTTGTTAAAGATGAATGTTGGATAGGATCTGCCCATGAGTCTTTTTTGGCACGTCAGACCGTCTTGGGCGAGTGTTTTATTTCCCGCGGAAGGAATTGATTGGTGAAAGGGGATCACGTGACCTTGTGACATTGTGTTGTCAGTCCTACTCAAGCAACCGAGAAAACGCCATGCAAACTTGACAAGTGCAAGTCTCCCACCGGAGGGGCACTTATTTACGACATTGAGAAATGATGCTTATCTCTTATTTCTTGTATGAAGTTTAATATGACAAAATGGGAGATTGCATTGCATACTAGTTTGGAGTCGACGAATCAATGTACCGTTTTGTCTAGCATGCATGCAGTATCGTGCCAAGGTGAAAAACGCTCTTCTATGTTCATGGAATACCTTATACTGCATCATTCCATTTGTAAAGCAGATTGAGTGATCTACACTGTATGATATACATTAGTATACATTTACAAGAAATTTGCTGATCATTTATTTTCCTACACACCATCATAACTTTCCTTAATTATGGCCACTTAAAATCAGACAAAGAGACAAAAAAAAGTGGTTATCAACAACATAGTCTGAGGTGGCTTCGCCTTTTCATCTCTGACAAAGACAGGTGATAATAATGCTGATCACAATGATACTGAGAAGAACAATTCTAACAAGAAATGTAATAATAACAATAATAATGATAATGATAATCTTTGAAAAGATAGGTTTTTATATATGAATAATAATAACAATAGTAGGTCCTTGTAAAGCACACATGTGTGTCAGACATTGACATTCCTGGCGCTCCAAAATTATTACCCACCTTTAGCATGGCTGCCACCATGCTGTTCTAGCATTTCAGCGAACCAATACACATTTACCTAACATGTTTTAACATGTTTTAATGTCTTCCCAAAGGGCATCAATACCATGGGGGGACTCGAACCGCGAACCATGTGATCCACAATCAGGTGACGTATCCACTTGATCAAATCATTAACCCAAACTAAAAATCACCTTTCCATTCAGTTCAGTACCGACATCGTCTTGTTTGATGCACATGTAGGTCACCCATGAGGCTTTGATTGATTTAAAGCCCATCTGTACTAGTTTGGCCAGGGGGGATTAGACCACCAGGGAAGGTCACTGACAGGTGGTTATCTTCTCAACTCAGCTCTCAATTAACATAAGAAAAAGGGGATCATGGGGGACCAACAGGCATCGCTCAGGCATTTTTTCTATAAAGAGGGAACAAGTAGCTACAGGTAGTGCAGTGGGACTTTAAGACAAAAAGTCTTGAAATGTAAGACTATATTTATTTCTTTATCGAAGTTCCCACTCGGTCCTCGAACGGGTGAGAGCGAAGCTGATGACGCAATAAAAGCTTTCGTCTTTGAACACACCCGACAGAAGACATTTTAGTAAGCACATAGAAACCACTTGCTATAGGACTGTGTCGGTTTACTGCCCGCCACGAGTGGATGAAAGCTCCACTGAAAACCTTGGTGAACTGGCGCCATGAATTACTTACGAGCATTATATTACGATCTTAGCTTCTATTCAATATCACGACTTGTATTACTTAAGGTATATTTTCATCGCGTACATTGCATATAAAAGTGCTTGGATTTAGCTTAATTTAGAAATAATATACTATTTTAAAATGTATGCCAAAGTGGCCGACCCATGTGGACTAATGTGTGCAGTGTTATATAACTGCGATGGAAAGCGTTTTATCAAATACCTTTTTAAGAGGACGGGATTTGATTTTAAAGTGAAGTATTCTTGCATTGCATAACAGTAATGCGAATCAACCAAGTATTATTGTCCTTTGGCGAAACTTTAATCTACATTTACTTTTCTGCACCCTCGTTAAAAATGTGTACCCGATAGGATTCGAAAGTCATTGTAGTTTGGTCAGAATTCGAGTGACTGAAAAATGGCACCTGGCTGGAATGATCCCCACGGAGTGGAGACTGTGCATACTTTGTGTTAGGACAAGCCTGAATCCGATGACCAAGGTAATAATGTTCATGTAGAGCGCTTAGAGACTTCGCAGATGTATTAAGTGCAATATGAACGCAAGATGTTAACGTCATTTATAAATAAAAAAATCACAGTGTCAATTCTGTACTGGATCAGTATATATACCGGTATGTATTTTTCACTTTTGAAAGTATTCCAAGCATAATTGTTGTGGTTCGAAAGTATAGACAGATAATATTGACCGAAGCGTAATAAATGCTTGAGATGTCATAAATGTGGGAAACATGGCATGCATGTTATCGAGGGTTTATGGAGCATGAGTCGTACTTTCTGACATACATCGTACTTTCTGACATACATCGTACTTTCTGACATACATCTTATCATATTTATTTTATGGAAAATATACTGGGTACAAATTCCATCCATTTTAACTTTTCATGTGTCAGACAGTTTTTGAATTAAAGTACTTGTGAAGAGACAAAGAGATCTTCACAAAGTATGACAAAAATATTGGGGTTTCTTATTGTAAAAGGATACAACAGGATACGGTACACTCACATGTACTTCTCACTGATTTGGTGTATAGATATATTAGAATAGACTTTTGATATGGCAAAAATTGGCAATATCTCAGTATATCGCGCTGTGATTGCAATAGCGGACATGATATCGCGTTTCCGAATCTGCTATCAAAGTGGTTTTAAGAAAAGTAGTTTGCCTGAAAATTCTAACCCTGTCTTTAAGAGTTTTTGCAAGATTCTGAGAAATCACAAGCAAAAGTTTAACGTGGAGAGAACCTGATTTTTAGTTTTGCATCACCTGATCTATAGATACATTATACAACATTATACAACTGGACACAAATCAATCTCCCTCCCAGCAATTAATTCCTTCTTCTCGGTTTTGTGCTCAGTTAGTCTGCATCTGAGTGGTTTGTATCACGGCACATATACAGTACTGCTAACCGAATCGTAAGATTATTACATCAGTCCTCATGTAAGTCTTGTCTAGAATGATCGAATGATGCACTCTTATCATAACCGCGATGTAAAACCACTCCTCCTTCTACTACTTGAGGTTTACCAACGGGCAACAAAGCCGTATTTATCTTCCTCGAATACTGAATTTTAAATGATGACAACAAAAATGAGTGTACTGTGGGTTAAAGTACAATTCCCGTTTAAATCAGGTTAAATCAGGTTATCCTTTGGGTGTCTTTTTACTATGAATTCTTCTGAGAAACAAAACAGTAAAAAATATCAGGCCATTGCGTGCATATACAACTTACAGGTTAATATACAACTTTGGGTTTGTCTAATGTAAACATATATTCGAAGGCACCTATATGGCAAATCAAAGTCATGCTTCAAAGTTGTTGTCATGCGAATATGTCATGGTTTACTCGTCTACAATTTTCAAGGAAATCATGTTGTTACCACGGTTACTTCATTTATGAAAGTTATTTTCTATGATATCAGATATGAGAAGGAGATCCCTCTTTTTGTTGTCAATTTGTGTTACTTTTTTCTTTCATGGTGTTATGTTTGTTGCTGCTGTTTGTTAAAACGTATTGCTGTTGCGTTATTTTTTCTTTTCTTTTTTGTCTTTGTACTTTATTTAGGATTTAACCGAAAGGAAGAGCGAATTTTAATAGAGGTAACGTTTTAGGAAGAAAACAAACCGTATTTGTTAAGGTAGCTTTCGCCAATTGCATTCTTTGTATCGATATTCTAATTATAACAATTACCAAATCATAATTATGATATTCAATATACATTTAAGCTATCCAACAAGAGAATAAAGAGTGAGACAAACAAAGGGCGAAATACAGCAGCCTAAAGGCCTCCGCTTCGTATTTAACGAGTGCCGTACTTCCGACTAAACATTTCCACTATGGCGAAACTTGGTATATTCGTAAACAAGAACGGAATATAAGAAACATTCCACGTATAATTTATCAGCAACCGAAATGAGAAAAGAGGGCAACACGCACGAAAATTAATATAGGGATCGCATTTGGCTGGCGACATTTACTTGCCTCCTTCACTTTATTTATAGCTGGCGGAAAAGTGGAGTAGAGCACTAAGAGGATAGAGAAAAGAGACTTATTACAGGGCTGACTGGACCTAAATAATCGCCCTAGGAGGCACAGGTGTTCGTTTCTCATACGCAAAGGCTTTCAATGAAGACTCTTTTCATTAAGGTTCAGAAGAGGAGTTGAAGAGGGGTGTATTTCTTGTACTGTCTGTGGCTGGTATTGGTAAAAGGGATTATCATCGTTGCTACGGATTAACGTATATATAGTTATCTACATTTCACCTGTAGCAAATAGCTATAATATATGTCTAACATTTTCTCACTCTGTTTAATGCACACTAATGTGAAAATACCTTTCAGGATGCTGCTGCAGTCGGAATATTAAGATGCGCCTATGGAAATATTATAAGATACCCATCCATAATTCTATAAACAAAACGTACAAAAGGCAAATTCATGATTTCCCTGTGTGATGTCTCATTTAATCGAGGCTGTAGGTCAAAGTTGAAACATAATTGCATTGAAGTGGAGAGAGCAATATTATTATCCGTCATGTGGTCATATTTCATCTTATACGATTGCGCTTTAAAATACATCTATTTATGTAAGAAATGATAACTGAGGTCACCCTCAGGCATTCCACTCTATTTATACGCACACATATACACACACACACGCACACAACTGTCTCCCTCTCTCACACTCTCTCCCACCCCTCTTTCCACCACAGATCTGATTAATCTGATTAATTGTATTTAGAATGTATTCCTGAGTATAAAGTGAGTTTTAAAAAGGTTGTAGTTGGCATTGAAAGATGTAGCTTAAGGAAAGACTGAAAAAGTATCGCACCTGTCTTAAACCATACGCTATAATGGTCATAAGTCACCCAGAAGACGCCAGTACGCATACCACTAGGCCTATTAATATTTTATGACATCTCGCATCCAAAGACTTCCAGTCTCGAGAGAGGTAAAGTCGGACAAAAACATATATTTTTAGCACCTAGTAGTACATTTGGAATCAAGTGTTGATCAATCGCCCTTGAGTTATGATGAAATAAATGGTGCTTAAAATCATTACAACCAAAAAGAAATCCCCAATGACATCATTAATCTGTCAATTTTTGACAAACTACAATTATTAGATATATGTTTGTGTAAACGATTGGTTTTTGAGTTCTAATCAGGAATTATTTTGACGTTTTGGTCCCAATATAGCAGCTCCCTCACTGAACAGATTTAAGGATCCTTCATATAGACGCGGCTAACCATTGCGAATTGTTTCATGACGTGAGTGTAAAAGATCTCACATGTTTTGTATCTGATGACACAGAGCTAAGTGAATTGTGTACACTTAAAAATTAAAGATAACAAACGTGGCGTTATTTAATTTTTTGATGGTGTGTGTGGGGGGGGGGGGGAGAGGTTTACCTCTGCATATCAGAATGAATCTAATTATAGCCGTAGATTGTGAAACATTTTAATTCAGCGTATTGACCAAAATACTACAACCTACAAGATATCTAAGATGTGACAATCAACATGTTATCTTGTAAGAGCATTATTGAAATGAATTCATCTTTTTGACAGCAACTATTTTGGTTTATTTTAAGTTCTTATATATTTGTATCGACAATTCTTCTCACTCACACATACGCAACCATTCTAAGTTTGAGATTATCGAATTAATTAAATTTGAAAACTTAATTTGACGAATCTGCTTCATGTTATTTATAGAATGAAGTATGTCTTTATTGTCAGGAGGAAATAAAGTTGTAAAAATGGTTTGAGACTTCAACTATGGCCTGTTTAATATTACCTTGACATATAATAATTATTTCAATTTTTTTCTTCATTGAAAACAAAAGTTAATATTATATATTTAAGTTTCTTGTAAGCGAAATATAGTCCCTAAAACTGTAGTAAATAGAATATGTATTAAGCTAAATG